AGCAAAGACCAGGCTTTCCACAAGTAAAGCATCTCTAGCCCCCACCACAGAATGCCTTTAAATCAGAGGGTGGTTTTGTTATTTTAACACTAACAGTTATGATTTTAAAAGCATTTATCATTAGCAGTTTCTCCACAGATACTTGGATTTAAGTTAGCCTAACTATGGACTAAAGACATCATCTCCTATTAAAATGGCATGTGATATCAGCAAAAAGATAAAGAGCATCTCCATAGCGACAACTTGACACTTTACCCGATGTTGCCTAGATCTATGGAAACCATTGAAGCTGTGTCTATGTACATTGATTTATAGAGCCAGACTCTCTAGTATTAGTATATGATTGCTGAAATAAATACTAATATTTTTATGATTCTACAAAGTATGATTATCTTAAGAACACCTTTTTGTTCATCCTTGATGTTTAGGTTGTGAAGCTAGAGCTTTTAAAGACGAAACCATCTCTCCAGCCCTTGTTCATTAGTGATGTGGTTAATTCCATTATTCAAACTGTTGCAATTATAGTGCATAAAATGTATGCAGTTGAATAGATGAGGATGCCCCACTTCACTGTGCCAAGTAGCAGGTGCTCTGGATGGGCACTGAAAGCTTGATAGCTGTTTAGTAAAACATGCACAGTGCCATCTAGCGGTATAAAGCCATGATCGCACAGCCTAAACCCTCATTTTCTAGAATTGAGATCATATTTAAGCAACTGATAGGTGTAACTGTTAGATCTAAAAGAGACTTCTTACCAACTTCTCGATGAATCTCAACTTATCACTTCCCAATGCTCCTCCTTAAATAAACAAAAGGCTGAAGATTCCTATTTCTCAATAATTAATATATATTGAATGCAAAAGGGATTGTGTGAAATGTTTTATGCTGATTATCTCATTTGATCTCCTACAATAACACAGTCTGGGGAGAGCTGCTATTATACCCATTACACAGATGAGAAAACTGAAACTTAAGGATGTTAAATGGCTTGTTTAAGGTCAAATAGGCAGCCAGGAGGGGAAACTCATTACCTCTGGCTTAGTCTACACCTTTTCCATGGTGATTCGACCTCACAGAGTGGTAGTTACTAGCAAAATAAAATGCTCAAGAAGACTTTATCAAAAAGGCCTTCATTGTCTGATTTCTAATCATCTAATATCACAAAATCAATCCAAATCCCACTAAATCGGAATTGCTGACAGCTGAGCTAAGTATCTATCTTTATAGCTGAATTATGGTGTGTGGTTTCTTTTCTATCATCCACATAGTATATATGATCAAAATCATGTGTTGATTTTCTTATTGAATTTTGGAGACTGTGTTAAGACTTAGTTTGGGACTCATAAACTTTATAAATTAATAGCAGCATTTTTAGATCTAAGGGTGTTATTTTAGCACGAATAGTGCCCATTCTTTGGGTGTCTTTTATGTGCTAAGCCCGACAGCCGGCCCTGCACATACATTTTCACTTTGAACCTCACTACTACCCCCAAAAGGTACTGGTTTCCTCATTCCTAGAAAAGAAATAGGAAAATTTGTACAAGAAAAATAATTTTCCTGGCTTTATAGTTCTGGGCAGAGTGAAGCTTCAGTCTTGATTTCAAGCTCTGCTTCCTTTCCACCCTGGAAAACACAGGGTATGTCACGCTGCGTGGAAATGGTTCCTGCACACCACCGCCCCTGTGTACACATCCACTGTCTTTTACTAGGTCTCCAACAATAGGCTATAGCTGTTTTCTGTTTCCCGTCTCTTTCTTCTCATAGACTCAGAAATACTTTAAAGTTGAACCTGTGATCAAGCAGCTCTGTGCTTTTTAAAAATTTACTTATTTTTCTTTTATGTATATGAGTGTATTGCCTGTATGTGTGTCATGCAATGCCCGAAGAGGTCAGAAGGCCTCAGATCCCCTGGAACTTGAGTTGCAGACAGTTTTTAGCCATCATGTGCTAGGATTCCAACCTGGGTCTTCTGCAAGAGCAACCAGTGCTCTTAACCACTGAGCTGTCTCTCCAGTCAGCCTATGCCTTTACGCTCCATGTGAACACCACAGCCCTGCTCAGGGCAGCAGAGCCCTGCCGTTCCCAGCTCTTCCTTCTGGATCCTCCACAACTGTGTTATAATCCCAGTGTGTACCTAGTGTTCTGATTGTTACTGTATGTGATGATTTCTGCCCATCCGTGTGACTGAGGCCCATTTGTGTCCCCATCAGACTGTTAACTCCTTGAGGCAGGAAGTACATTTATGCTGTCTACCTTTGAGCCCTCAGGACCTCAGAGAATACTGTAATTATGAAAATCAGTTTTACTCGGATCATTTATAATTATCTGTTTCTTACAATTAGCTAGAATTGATGCTTTGTTTCTCTTTATATTGAGGCCTTAGGTATGTGGGGATGCAAATACTGAACATGTTCATTTTTAAGAACTTCCACTTGATATCTAGATATTTTATTTGCCCATAAGATTAAGCAGCCAGTATTTTCTGGCATGCCCTGTGCTAAGTGTTTTCCGGGAATTGCCTCATTTAACTCCTGTTGTAATCATCTGTCCCATTTTCCCAAGGGGAAGAATCAGAGGAAAGAAATGACGTGCTGAGGCACCCGAATGCCAAACCCTCACCTGCACGGCTCTTCACAGCTGCTCTGCGTTGTCCTTTCGATTCAAATACACCCTTAAAAACCACCACTTCATTGTTGAGTCACTTTGTAATTTCTCACTGAGTGATCAGATAAGTGATGACACTCTTGTGATGTGAAGTTGTTGTGAGGTGTGACCAGTCTTTCCAGTTCCCATAGGCTTGCTATGGTGTGTACAGTATAGAGAAATCCAGCTTGTTCTCAGAGTCCACTAAATATGAGTAGGAGGACGTCCCAAGGTGGCGCACAGAAGAAGCAGAAAATCTGGACTTGGGGGAGACAGAAAGGCATCCTTGAGGATGTGGTGCTGATTCTAAGGTGTGCGCATGCACACACACACACATACACACACACACACACAAATTACACATAGGTCTACCATCAAACCCAACCTCTTCTTTTCTAAGTCTTTATCAAGAAAATGGAAGCATATGCCTACCCAGAAGCTTATACATGATTATTCATAATAACTTTATTTGTAACAACCAAAACCTGAATCAACTCAAATGTCCATCAACAGATGAGTCAGCAACTGAGTTGTGATATATCCATATAGTGGAATACTATTCAACAATAAATAGGACTGAATTACCAGTATATGCAGCAATACAGATGATTCTTAAAATAGCTATTCTAAGCACAAACTGAACAGATGAACAAGCTGTGTGGCCCATACGACTCCAGTTATTTACAAGTCTATAAATTTGTGACAGAAAGCAAGAAACTCAGAGCTGCCTGCTTGGCTAGGAACAGATCACGCCATTTTGGGTGCTGTCGGTTCTGTGGTAACATAACAATACTCAGGACAAACAGAAACGTATTCCTTGGGTAAGTAGAGAGTAGCCAAGACTTTAATTTTTTTTGTTTTTGTTTTTTGTTGTTGTTGTTTTGTTTTATTTTTTGAATCAGGGTCTCCTTGTAGCCCCAGCTATCCTGGAACTCACTGTGTAGACCAGGCTGGCCTTGAACTCACAGAGATCCACCTCCCTCTGCCTCCCGAGTGCTGGGATTAAAGGCGTGCGCCACCACACCTGGCTCCAAGACTTTAATTTTCAGCAGGCTGATGAAGTAATCTGTGACTTAGCTCTGCAATTGTGTGGCCTTCCTCTTTGTCCTTCCTGTCTCCTCTAAGTCTCACTTGTCTCTTATTTCATACTGCAGATTGGTAAAATTATATAAATAGATGAACACATTTTAACATCTTAAAAGGACTTTTGCTATCTTTTCACACACTTGGAACTTAGGTTCTGGTCTTATTTTTGATGGGTCGTTGCACACAACAGAAAAATGCTTAAACCAGATGGACTTAAATTTGTCGATTTTTCTAATGACTGTCCTTACACCTTTGTTCGTTAACTTTTCTGATGCTCAGGTTTCTTGGCTGTAACATGGGAATAATGAGTGTGTGTCAAGGGTTATTGTAAAAACAGAAAATGCTCTCAACAGTGGTGTGATGGTTAGTTCTTGTCAATTTGACACAAACTAGAGTCATCTGGGAAGAGGGAACCTCAGTTGAGAATGGCCTGTGGGTGTGTGTGTGAGGTGTTTTCTTAATTGTTAATTGATGTAGGAAGACCCAGCCCGCTGTAGCAAGTGGGCTAGTCTGTATAAGACTGGCTGAGCAAGCTGGAAGGAGAAAGCTAGTAAGCAGCACTCCTCCTATGGTCTACGTTAGTGCACACTGCCAGGTTCCCACCTTGACTTCTGTCAATGACAGACTGTGAGTAGAAGTAGAAGTTATAAAATAAGCCCTTTCCTCCCCAGATCTGCTTTAGTCATAGTGTTGACCACAGCACCGAGAAACAAACTAGAACAGATAGTTAATATTGATTGAGAACTTTACAAGATCACCTAGGAGACACACCTCGGGGCACGTCTGTGTGGGAGATTCTGGACTGTTACTTGAGGTGGGCATACTCACTCTAAATGTGGGCAGCACCATTCCATGGGCTGGGGTCCTGGACAAAATAAAAAGAATAAAGTGAGCTGAGCACCAGCATTCCTCTCTCACTAACTGTAGCACTGCGACCGGCTGCCTCACACGCCAGCCACCATGCCTTCATCATGATGGACTGTACCCTTGAACTGTGAGCCAAAATAGACCCTTCCTTCCTCAAGTGGCTTTTGTTAGCTATTTTGTTTCATCAGCTAGAAAAGTGACCAATATAAGCCATATCCAGGAAGTCATCTGCTGCTGTTGTGCCTGGTCATGGAGCCCTGGAGATGTATGTTCACTTATGTGCACCCCACAGCAGCCATGCACATGAAAGAAGCCCAGGCAGCCGGGAGCAGGTGGGTATGTAAAGCAGCTCATCGCCTTTCCACGCACTCCAGGCTGATGCGCTCCCTATGCTTCTGTTGTAGTACACCTGGTGGACATCTGGAACGTCATAGAAGCCTTGCGGGAAAATGCACTGAACAACCTGGACCCAAACATAGAACTCAACGTGGCCCGCCTGGAGGCTGTGCTCTCAACCATTTTTTACCAGCTCAACAAACGGATGCCGACCACCCACCAGATCCACGTGGAGCAGTCCATCAGTCTGCTGCTGAACTTTCTGCTTGCAGCCTTTGACCCGTAAGCCCTCTGACTGCCAGTTACTCTCCGTACTTGGTTTACATTTCCTTTTACTCTTCTCTTGGTCGTTTTCCCAAATAATTTTCTAGATTCATTATCTCTTTTATTTCATCTTCAAACATTATATCTAGAAAGTCTCTGTGGGACTGATAAAAAATGTAAGGCTACAGAAGAAACTAAAGAGTAAAATAGTGCACAGAAATGGGAGGGCATTTGTAGTGTTTGAGCTAGCCTTTCTTTTCTTACTCTCTTTTTTAAATATTTATTATTTTTATTTTATGTTGAGTGTATTGCCTGCATTTATGTAAGTGTACCCACGTTGTGCAATGCCCAAGGAGTCAGAAGAAGGCATTGGATTCCCCTGGAACAGGAGTTATAGACAGTTATTAACTACCACGTGGGTATAGGGAATGGAACCCAGGTCCTCTGAAAGAGCAGCTGGTGCCCTTAACAGCTGAGCCATCGCTCCAGCCCCAAGCTGGCCTTTTTCTTTAACTCCTCATCGTACATGTTGCGGTCACTGCAGATGTTTGGAAGTGTGGTGTGTGGGCTAGTGTGCAGAGTAATTCTATGAAGCATGAAGGCAAGGATGTTTTCCTGCTCTCTTCTTCATGACTTGTCTAGACAGTGGTTTCTGGGGTGCCATATGAACACCCTTTCCAACAGGAACAAAATTTTAAAAGAGTTTCTTGACGAGCCTAGAAAAGTAACAATGACAGTTGTTAACTGGACCGGTCAGTTGTGTGTTGCTGTGAAACATAGCCTTGTTGTCAGTAACTCCCCTCAGAGAATCAGAGAACTTCAGAGCTGGCTGACATCTTAAAGTCTGTTTCCCCAGGTCTCTCATTTCACAGATACAGGGCCTGATACACAGAGAGATGTCACTTATCCAGTGCCTCTTAGCATGTTCGTGGAAAAGCAGGAACTCGGGTATCTTGCTACCGTATTTCCAAGGTGTATGTGACCACCATATGGCATGTGAAAATACTGAGACTTACATGGTCAGCCTGAGAGTTCAAAAGGGCTTTTACCCACATACCCCAATGTGGATGAAACAACCTCAGCTTCCATGTTTTTAATATTAAAGAGGGAAAGGGCAAAGCTGGCCCTTATATAATCACATTCAACGCTCTCTGAAGGTTTTTCTTGATCTTGTATGGGTTATGTTTGGAGCAATGTTCCATGACAGTGGAAATGTTCCAGCCACACTGATGTCATTTACTACTCAGCGAAGTCACCAGCTGTCACTTGCAACCTACAGTGGTAATGGAATAGTCCCTGCTTGGTTTGACCAGCACACATTATTGTCTCCATGCTCTCTATATTCTGAGAAATTCTCAGGTTGAGACAAACTTTTAAAATCAGCTTCCCAGATAGATAGGTCTCTAGCTTTGTCTGTGGAGATTTCAGAACCAGATGAGCTGCTCTGTTCTGACCCCTGTGGTGATGGGGAAGGGGCAGGGAGAGAGAGCTATGGTTCCACATGACAGGTGGCAGAATAGAAATGGGCCATGGAATCTCTGTAACAGCATTTCTGTCCTGACCCCGTAACAAGAGCACAACAGCTTCCAGACTTACCACTAAAGGTCGTGGGGGACCTATTTGTTGTAAACATGTGCTGGTCAGCTTTCTGTTGCTGAGCCAGGTACCTGAGATAACTAACCTACAAGGAAGATAGATTTATTCTGGCTCACAGTTTCAGAGGTTCACATTGCTTTTGGACCTATTGGTGAGGCAGTATTTTATCAGAAGAGGCCTGTTTACCTCATGATGGCTAGGAAGCAGGGTGGGGCCAGTTTGCTGGATTACAATATCCCCTGCAAGGATTCATTCAATGACCTAACTTCAGTCCACTCAATTCTACTTACCAAAGGTTCCATCACCTCCCAGTAGTACCAGAGGATGACAATAAGTCTTTGGTGTATGGACATGGAGAATAAGGGAGACATTTAAGTTCTAAATTACAGCCATATGTAATTGATGGGAAATATTTTTTAAATATAATTTCCTCCTGAGTTCTGAAATATTTCAGGAAGATTAATAGAGAATCAAGTTAAATGATGATTTGCACCCACCCATAAAGAAAGAAACAAGGCCAGATTAGCAAGAATGAAGGAAGCATTTTGTGAAATACAAGGCATTTGAAATAATGCTGTTAGATGTTTCTCTTTTGTTTAGAAATACCAGTTAGATTGCTTCAAAAAACAGAGCCATAAAAGTTCCCTAAATAGCTACTGATAATATCACAGAATCATCTCAAGGCTGGTGAATGCTAAGTTTAACACTGTCCCTGGGTAAAGAATGACTCTCAGAAATATAGAGAAGAAATGTTTATTAACTTATTATTATTCCTATAGTTAGGGAGTCCCTGCACATTCCAATAATCTCCATTGCAGGAGATTTACACACACATCGAACTGAGATTCTAGGTGGGAAAAACTTCTTTCTCTCCCCGGTATAAAAAATGTACATAGGAAGTTTTACTGGTACCCAGGTTTTTCTATCTGATATCTTTTGGAATTTTAATGTGAAGGGTAAGCCACCAGAAGGGGCATCTAAATGCAAATGTAACTTAAAAGTGAGTACAAGAAGATCAACGTAAGAATAAAATGTTCAACTCTATCTCTTATAATAGTAAACTTATGTTTGCCCAAATGAGCTCCAGTACGGAACTGTGATGATGTCACTTCCTACCACCCACCATAGAGCCTGTGTTTAAAGCAACTTGCTATATTTTGGCAGATATGAATGAGCTAGGTACTAGCTCAAAACAAAGACGGGCTGTTGCTATTACAGACTCCTGAACTATCTTGGGGATTTTCTCCCATTTGCTGCATTTTAAATTGAATATTTTTTAAAAAGCAGGAGCATATTCTTTTTAAACCACAGAAAAATCGAGTATGAAAAAAGAGCTGTCTTAAGAACCTGAACTCTAGAGAGACCATATTTTGAAACACAGGAAGGAACAGTGGGGCAGTGACAAGCCATGAAGAGTAAGAACCTGCATCCAGGGAGAGATGCTCATTCCTTTGGCAACGCCTTAATAGTCACCACACCCAGCCAGCTGGACTCTGAAATGATCATCAAACCCACTTCAGTTGGCTGTATCCTTGGAAACCACATTTACCTTCCCACAACTATAGTTCCCCAAGAATAGCGTTTCTTCTACTCAACCCCAAAAATCTGGATCTTAGTTCTCATACATGTTTCCTCCAGGCATATCAGTTTTGTGGACATAAGGCCCCCTCTGTTCTCTGTCCAGGTCTGCCCCTTAGAGGACACAGAACATTACTATGGAAGGTAGATAACTTGCACAGTGTTAGGACCCCAATGGCCTATGCCCAGGCTTGCCACTCTGTCACTGAGGAGATAGCACCTTGAGTCTAATGGATTTCCATTCCTCTTGATTTCCTAGGAAGGGATTCACTCCTGGAGCACTCAGAGGCAGCTTCTAAACAGATCTTTTCTACAGCTATAGTCCTTCACTCCTAATGTCTCTAGGAAAATGAATGAGTAGTCCTGGAAAGGATGGGAAAGGAGGTACCAAAAGATGGGGACAGGCTATGTTGGAAGGAGACATTAGCACAGAGTCAGAGCCTGAGCCAGGCTCTTCCTTCATGTCTCCTTTTGTACACCCAGGAAGTGGCCTGCCACCTGCCCTGCTCTGCTGCCAGGAACTAGCCACCTGCCACAGTCTCTTTCAGAATTCACTAACAAGCAAACGCAGCTATTACAGTCACCTCTTGGCCATAACCCAAGAGGAAATCCCCTTGAAAGGCTCTAGGAAGCTTTACTATTGTTGCTATTGTCTTCAAGGTTATAGTAATTTAAAGAAAAACAATATGGCAGGAAATCATAAGGTGAAAATAATTCTTAGATGCCTATAACATACTGCCTTTGTGAAAGGTATAATCCCTAACTCTGACAGTCTGTGTAGCCCTTTGCTTTGCGTGGTCAAGTCGATCACTTTTCCCAGGTCCTACTGTTCCGTGCACAAGATTCTCCTATCTTCTTACAGTGGGTATCGACTATCATGACTGCCTCCCATAAGTCACTCTTTTAAAAAGATTTTATTATTCTTTATTTTATGTGTATAAGTATATTGCCTGCATGTTATGTAAGTGCACCCATGTCATGCAATGCCCACGGAAGACAGGAGAGGGCATCAGATTCCCTAAAACTGGAGTTACAGATGGTTGTTAGCTGCCATGTGGGTGCTGGGAATTGAGCCTGAGTCCTCTGCAAGAGAAGCCAGTGTTCTTAACCACTGAGCCATCCTCCAGCTGGCAATCAGTCACTTTTTGGGTGGGACTGTAGCTCATTCTTCATACACACAGCCCTGGTACCACACATAGCATGAGCATGTATCAAGCAAAAGTCCAGTTCAGCCTCTCTTGGTGCCCTGTTCACTACTTTTCATCCTTTTTTCTGATATAAATTTCTCCTTACCCCCCCCCCAAAAAATATTACAAAAACTAGGAAGTTCTAGTTGCATAAATTCCTGCCAGGTATTCTGGCTACCAATGTGAGTAATGGTATTTTCCAAAACTTTCAATGTACTTTCATTTTCTCCCTATTTCCTGGGAAACACTGGAAGCAATTCAGCCATAATTTAGTCAGCATTCAATTCAGTAGTATCTTCCATCTTAGAATACTGTCTCACAAAGCAGATTATGAGACAATGATCTTCTAAAATCAATATCATTTCCACATATATTCAGTCATTCAAAGGTCCTACTAGGACAGTGATCAATATTAGAGGGAGGAGCTGCTTCCCAATTGTTGCGGGCTAGCTATATTTTTTAATGTTGACTCTTTAGTGATACTATATTGGTTATTTTTTCTCAATCTCTGTAACAAAATACCTAATAAAAGCAACCAAAGGAAGAGAGGTCTTTTTTGACTCACAGTTTAAAGGGACATAGTCAACTCATCATGGTGGCTGGCATTGGTCTGCCTGTAGTAGGAGTTTGCAGCACAACTGGTTAGATGGTGTTCTG